CATCCTTCTTGGATCCCAGACAAACATGGTAAAAAGCATTGCTGGCTTATTTTTAAAACATACTATGCATACTAATTTTGTGATATCTATCTCAAGCAAGGAATCAGAATGGAACATACATAGCAGTGAAAAAATGACTACCTGAGTCAAAGTAGGGCCTTTTACCCTAGCACTTAAGACCTGGCTTTTTACTAGAGCTTTTGATCTATGTTAATTTTATCAATATCTGTATGTATGTATTTTTATCCTTTACAGTTTTAGCTTGTAAATCGCCTAGAGCATCTTGGATGGAGGGCGATTAATAAGTAATTAAATGATGATGATGATGATGATGATGATGATGATGAAAATATGCTTGATACCCATCTTAGATATTTATTTATTTATTTATTTATTTATTTATAATTCAAACTTATATGCCGCCACTCCCTTGGGGCTTGGAGCAGCTTACAAGAACAGGCTAAAGTCTAACACAATTTAAAAACAATTTAAAACAATTTAAAAAACAATTTAAAAACAACAATATCAGAGATCAAAGATATGATACTTTTTAAAAGTAGACATCAGTGGAAAGTGTAAAGCTGGCTCATCAGGCTAATCTCTTGCTGTTTGTGTGGCTCATCCCCCCCCCCCCCAAAAAAAATAAAAAATAAAGATAGATCACTAATGGGCACAGTGAGGGATTTTATATCCTGTTCTTCAATTATGCATCCCAACCAGCTGTTGTAATATATACGGTTGATACTGGAGTATAAGCTGAGTTTTTCTGCATATTTTTTAACTGAAAAAGCCCCCCAGCTTATACTCAAGTCAAAGATATGTATTATTTTACTGGGTTATTATTATTATTATTATTATTATTATTATTATTATTATTATTACATTTATTATTTTACTCTATTATAATTATGATTACATTTACATTATTTTATCATTATTATTAAATTTATTATTTTATAAATGGTGGCACAGTGGGTTAAACTGCTGAGTTGCTGAAATTGTTGACTGAATGGTTGGTGGTTCGAATCTAGGGAGCAGGGTGAGCTCCCGCTGTTAGCCCAAGCTTCTGCCAACCTAGCAGTTTGAAAACATGCAAATGTGAGTAGATCAATAGGTGCTGCTTCTGTGGGAAGGTAATGGCACTCCATGCAGTCATGCTGACCTCATTTCCAGAAGTCTCTTCTCTTATGAAATGTTAAGCTTAAGATTCTGGCCTTAAGTGGTGCCCCAGGAGGAAGGGCTAAAAGAGCTCTTACAAACTCTATTTTGCTGCTTGCTTAATTTGGATAAAAGATTGGGTTTTGTTGAGTGATACTAGGATGTTAATACTGGAGGGACATGTTCTAAGATATGGTCAGTACAGATATATATGGCATAATAAAGTGAAAGTGAATGTAGATTTCAAAAATAATTATGTTAGATGTGCGTTACTATGAATACGGGAGAGATATAAATTAGGGCTGGGCAGTTTCGTTTCGTTAATTCGTAATTCATTAAAAATTCGTAAATTTTTTAATAACGAAGCGATAACGAACCATTCTGGAGCAACTTAAAAATGAAACGAATTTTTTAATACGTTTTGTAAATGCTTCGTATTTCGTTTTGTATTCGTTTTGTTATTGGTTTGAGATCGTTTCATTATTATTTCCACATGTCTGGGGCAAGTTTTATAGTTGTTTTTTGTTTAATTAGTGAAAAAAAATTATAATATCACACCAACAGTCAACAACAGAGGGAGAGGGAAGCTTCAGAAGTTTTTTTAGCGTATTGCGCGATCGCGGCCGCCATTAACGAATCGATTCGTTATTGTTTCGTTATTGTTTTGTAATTTTTTTACCATTTATGAAATTTCGTAAATATCGAACTTTTTTTAAGGAAAATTTTGTAATTATTTTAAATAACGGAACGCAAAAACCCCCAAAAAACGAATCGATTTTAGAAACAATTTTTTCCATTGTTACCCAGGCCTAATATAAATCAATCTTATGCCTGAAGATCCCAGGGTAAGACACAAGGTAAGAAGAACTGGTAACATATCAGGATCTCTTAAAAATGTACATGGAGAATATAGAATCAAAACAAGAAAACAATTAATTGCAGAGGCTTTTGGCTTCAGTGGTTTTCTTATTTATAGTTAATGGAGAGATTCAGACAAGACAAGCAATCAGTTGGTTTTGAAATAAGCAAATCCAAATTTGAGATGATGAACATTTAATTGCTAAAATATATAAAATGTTATTTAAATAGGAAATGGCAGATGAGCAAGTTAAAGAATGCATGATAAAGTGGGCACAAAATGTGGGGCACAACGGGAGAAAATGTGGAATAAAGGATTACATCTCACGTTATAACTTGAAAGAGAATTTCTATAAAATGATGTACCAGTGGTATATGACACCTGAAAAGCTCTCTAAAAAGAGCTCCAATATTGGCTGGAAACAAGTGGGGTTCTGCTATCATATGTGGTGGAAATGTAAACATGCCAAGAAATATTGGAGTCAAGTACACCCTGGTGGTGAGCAGGTTAAACTGCTGAGCTGCTGAACTTCCTGACCAAAAGGTTGACAGTTTGAATCCAAGGAGTGGGGTGAGCTCCCATTGTTAGCCCCAGCTTCTGCCAACCTAGCAGTTTGAAAACATGCAAATGTGAGCAGATCAATAGGTACTGCTTCTGTGGGAAGGTAACGGTGCTCCATGCAGTTATGCTGGCCACATGACCTTGCAGGAATCTATGCACAATGCCAGCCTTTCGGCTTAGAAATGGACATGGACACTACCCCCCCACCCAGAGTTGGAAGCAACTAGACTTACTTTACACAGTAATCCAGAAAATTTTAAGGGGAAGCATCCACTTTTCTACTTGGTCTGGCTAACAAAAATAACCATGATAGACTGGCAATATATGACCACAGCACTCAGACTACTCTACATACAGAAATAGAAGTGTACAACAGTGGATAATGGATAATAAAAATGATGGACTTAGTTGAAATGGACAAATTATCATGTCTACTAAAAGAAGGGACATTTAAAACTTTTTTAAAAGCCTGGAAACCTTTTATTCACTTTTTCTATAAAGAAGAGAAGCGCTTCTGAGTTTTGAAGAATAAATTAAAAAAATTATTGGTGTTGTTATAATATGGTAAAAGTGTTAGCAAAGAGAGGTCTACAGGGTGAAGTATATGATATTAGCTTTCTTTGTGAGTCGATCGGGATAAACCGGAGATCACTTATCTTCCCCCTTCCCCCCCCCCATTTCTTTTTCCCTTCCCTCCCCCCTTTTTTTAAAAAGGATGGATATATAAAAAGAAAGGGTGCTGATAAAAGCAATGTTAGATGGAAATGAAGTGTGTATAAATATGAGCACCAATGGAAACTAAGTGAAAGCATGGTATTGTAAAACTGAAACAATAAAAATATTGTTAAAATCCAATAAGGAATGGTTTACTCTGCTGATCTGTTAACTTCACTAAAGCTCCACAATGAATAACAAGTTTGTTAATGTCTTTGCCTAAGATAGTAGAATCTAATACAAAAATTGACCTGCAAGACAGTGCCCTCTGCTGCATAGAGAAAAAGTAAAGGAAAATAACTCTTCACAACACAATGTCTTCAAATCTTTCCCCAATCCTGTTTATAAACGACCAGCAGTTTTTGCACACAGACACAAGTCAGAATAGAAATACTGAATTTTCCACCAATTACCATGGACTTGATAGCTCATAAAGCTGAAAACTATGGCAAAACAATCTGAGGCAAATAAGTGACCACCTGTTCAAACAATTTCACAGGCATATATTGGCCAACTGATAGAAATTGCCAATCTGTTTCATTCTCTTTCTTCAGTTACAACTCCTTTGTTTGTACTGGAGAAAAGCACTTTACCAGGATCAATATTTTTAAAAAGAAATGAGCATTAGCCTAGCCTTTTCTTTCCCTCTAGGACTCTAATCTCACTTTTCTCGGTCAATGAGACTACAGGGGTCATTTGCATAACCATCATTACTGTTTAGTAATGCATATGATATGTTTCACGTGCAAAATGTATACATTTTCTTTATTTTATCTATACCCATCACAACAACATATGGATTACATCAATCTTATTTTCATATTGTGATTTATTCACAGCCTTAATATTTATTTATTTATTTATTTAGGACATTTATATCCCAACCTATCTCGGCCTCCACAGAGGGATTCTCGATGGCTAATAACAAACAAAAAACATAGGTATACATATCCAGTAAAAACAGTACAAAACATTGTAAAAACATTATAAAAACATTAAAACAACCACCAATTTATAATAAAACGTTGTTACTTGTCCTATTTTGTTGGCTGTGAGGGGTCCTATGCTCTTACTAGGTGGTCCTTGAAAGGCAAACACATTAAAAATGTTCAACATTCTTTTGTGTCTGTGTTGAACAGAATGATCCACCTGCCACTGTGCTACCTAACATTAACCCTTCTGCAGGATTTTTTTTTAAAAAAACTAACATTAGTTTTAATTATAATTATAGTCTTATTCATACAAAATGAGATTGAAAGGCAAACACAAACAGACTAACATAACCCATTGGGTCAAACCAGATGTAATATTAATTGAATGACTTGAAATAAACATTATATATACATATAATAGCAATCATAAGTATGGGGAGACACACTAGCTACACCACCATAATCCTGGGGAAAACTTTTTCTTCAAAGCTACCATTTGCATTTCAAGGAGAACTTCCAATGATGTCAGTAGGAGTTGTTGAACTTACTGCACAGCAAGAATATATCATATTTCTGTATTACATCTCACTTTTAACAGGCAGCAGAAACATTATTAGAAACCCACATCACATATATTTTTGGCATGAAAGTATACCTACATTTTGACTGCCACTTCACTGCTTTTCTCCATTGCTTTCTCATAAAGAAATATTATTTATATACGAACACCCACAGAGGATTACTTTCCAATTGGCATACTTCTAAAAACTTCATACCTGTAAATCTTGTATCTTGTGCTAAATCCCTGTCGGCTTCTGTCCACAAAATCGGTGTATTCTGGGGAGCGATGAAAGGGTCCCTTATCCGAGAGGAGCCAGTCGAAGGGGCTTGTGGCATGCTGATCTGAAGCAGCAGCAACCGCTAAAACCCAGCAATGAAGACTCAGGGCTATCCACTCCCATAGAGCCATCAGAGAGAACAATTCAGCACCAGTACTGCATCGCCATATCATGCTTCCACTGGGGACTTAGAGTCTTCATTCTCTTAGTTGTCCCTTAGCACCTAGACAAAACACGCAAGAATTAGATCAGCATGCTTCTGAAACGTATAGGAAGAATGCCTCTCCCCACAAAAAAGAGATAGCTAATAGTTTTGCAAATAACAGGAAATGGTTACAGGGAATTTTTCATTTATCTACTCACTCCTGTAATGCATATAAATCTTTACTCAGCTGAGTCAGAAGGGGGTTAGAGAGCAATGAAAAGGGGGAGGACTAAGTCTATTGTATCTTTCTCTCTTCATACACACTGGGTGCAATCTGTATGCTTGCATCTCTGTGAGTGGATGTCTATATTTGTATAGATGTCAAAGAAAATAACAACATGGATAAATGTGTGAGCTTGTGCAACTGTAAGTGTGTGTGTGCAAACTTATACATGAGCAAAGAGACCTGGAGGACAATCTGGATAGGAAGAGTAAATAAATAAACTTTATTTGTAACCCGCCCTATCTCCCCAGGAGGACTCAGGGTGGATACTCAGTAAAGCGTACCTTTACTCTTTTGAAAGAATCTTTTGGCAAATTCTTTCCAGCCTTCTACCCATTTATGGAATCTGTACTTCATACAATCTCACTATACCACATGATACAGGAGATGGATGGCACTTTCTGACATTCTGTTCAATCAAATTTTAATGCCAGGCCTGCACATTTGTATCTGCCTCAGATTTGCAATATGCATTTGTAAAGCAGCATGTCAGTAGCACTGGAATAAATCCTATCTTATCCATCAGCAAGCATCACAAAAACTGCCAATTACAGCCCCTTTGTACCCAAAATCTGGGAGATGGGGGATGCTCAATAAAATGAAACAGTGTCTGCATAACACTAGTAAATCGTTGATTTCTAGTATTAACAATGTTAATTTGAAAAAAAATTACTTTAAGATACAGACTACCAAAAACTTACAACCAAGGGTCTTTTCACAGGATGCCTATCTTAACTATAAACCAATTATAGAAATTGCTACTTGCAGTAGTCATGGAGACATTATTTTGGATGGATGGACTGGTTTTCAAATTAGAAGTAGGCACCACTGTCATGAAGCTAACAGGCGTATATTAGAATAGTCACTGGACTGTTATAAATGTGCTGTCAGCCAAACTAAAGAGCATTAGATTGTAACTGAGAGCCAGCCAACATGCAATATATGCATGTGGGTTTTACAAATGATGGGGAATGGTGTGAATTTTTCATTTATCTACACCTTACTGCAATAATTTTTGCATATAAATGCTTACACTACAAGGGATCACTTGCAATATTAATTTGTCTTCCACTTTATTGCTCTTAGGTTGGCAATTATTTTTAAAGTGCCACTAACCTTGCTTGCTGTGGAATGGATCTCTTACTTTTATTGGATGTTTTGAAACTGTGTTTTTTTTTTCATTCATTTTAAAAACTGTTTACATGATTTAATTCTCAGCTCCATGTCTGCCAATCATGGAAGACAGGCAGAATATGAATCAAATAGAATAATTTAGAAATTGATTAATATAATTATAGACAACTCAGGGCACACTTTCCATAGCTTCATGGACTTTCTGAACAGATATGAAAAAAACCCAGGTAGGATAGTTTAGGAATGACAGGATATTCATAGGTAATTCTTTTTCTCAGGGTTTTTTTTAACAAAGTCCTTTTGAGAAAAAAATTACAAAGCAGAAAGGCATTTTCACATATTTTTGCCCAGTATGCAAATATCTCAGTGTGCCGTGAAGGAATGATCATGCAAAGATTAAAGTACACATGTTTTTATATGTAAAAATGTGTTTTCTGTATAGAAAACACTTTTTTCAGAAAACACATTTCCATGCCAAAACCAGTACAAAAATTATTAATATTTGCAAGTGGTTAACACTAGGCCTGGGTAACAACGGAAAAATTTGTTTCTACTATTGTTTCGTTTTTAGGGTGCCTCAGCATTTTGTATTTAAAAATATATCCGAAATTTTCCATAAAAAAAAGTTTGGTATTTACGAAATTTCGTTAATATTTACAAAACGTTTTGTAAAGATGGCGCCCGCGGTTGCGCATGCGGAAAGCATCAACGATTTTTTTTTCAATATTTTTTCAATATTTTTAATTTTATTATTATTTTTTTAATAATAAAAAAAATATTTGGCAGAAAATGCTTGCCAAAAAGAGCCACAGGGCAAACAGACTGAGCCTCCCCGCTGCTCCCAGCTCCGTCCCACCCTCCTGAGTCCTGCGGGCTCTCTCTCTCTCTCTTTCTCTCTCCACCAAGAGGAGGGAAAGGAGAAGAAAGCCCTAAACGGTTCCGGCCCAAAATACCTCTCTGACCGCATCTTGGCCTACGAGCCCACGAGGACCTTGAGATCGTCCGGGGAGGCCCTTCTCTCGATCCCGCCTGCCTCACAGGCACGCCTGGCGGGGACGAGGGAGAGGGCCTTCTCGGTGGTGGCCCCCCGGCTGTGGAACACCCTCCCGACACACATCAGACAGGCGCCCTCCCTCATGTCCTTTCGGAAGAACCTTAAGACCTGGCTCTTCGAGAGGGCATTTAATTAAGTGCTAAGAAACAGATAATACGGTAATGAGATCTGGAATGGTACAAGGCTGATGAGATTGGCTATGATTCTATTAAGAGACGAAGCGGATTTTTGTGTAGTCTGTAATTGTAATTGTTGCTATATGTTTTGACACTGGTTTGTAATTTGTCCTTTATATGTACTGTACACCGCTATGAGTCGCCCGTAAGGGCTGAGAATGGCGGTCTATAAGTGCCTCAAATAAATAAATAAATAAATAAGAAAGAAAAGAGGAAGGGAAAGGAGGGAAGGCAGGCACTCACTCTGGCGGGCCCTCAAGCGCTGCCGCCGAGTCGGGCCCGGCTCCTCCGAAGCACACCCACCGCAAAGGTGAGGAAGGAGGGACGGGCCGCCTTCCCGCTGAGGGTCGCTCGCCCTCTCGCTCGCTTGCTCAGCCGGCGCCTTCCCCGCCCTCTCCTCCTCCTCCTCCTCCTCTTTCAGGCTCTGACTGGCTAAGGAGAGGAGAGAGAGGAGAGCTCCCAGCAAGCATCTAGCCATCTTACGTATTTCCGAAATGGACGGAAATACAAAAATATTTGGCGCATGCTGTTTCGATTTTGAAAATACACTTCCGGGTTTGGAAAAAAGTTTGATATCATTTCGTATATGGGAAATTAATGGAAAAAAAACGATATACAAAATTAACGAACGAAACCGTCCAGCCCTAGTTAACACAGTAGAGTGGTCCATTGCATAAGTAATTTGACACTACGGGATCCTGGGATGGATGAATTGCAGTTAATATCATCATCATTTGCTGAATGCCTTCATGCTACTGAAATTGTTTCCATTAGAATCAGCCACCCAATTTGGCTTACTTTATCATTTTAAGAAGTTATTTTGTTTCTTGTTCCAACACCACCTCCTTCCCTGTTTTAGCCCATGTGAAATGACAATTAGGGAGGTCTTCCATTACACATTGTATTTCATTAAGCTATTGACTGCTGCCTGTAAGATCTGAACTTTCATATAATAAGTGGAAACAGCTAGTCAGGGCACTTGGAAAGTTGAAAATAGGGGAGGGTGAATATAAAAGGTGAGATTTTGCTGTTCAACTGTCAGATAAGGCCAGCTGGAGGCAGAGATAAGCAAGACATCAAAATAGAAATCTAGTTAGAAGGGGAAAGGGTAGTAAAGAGTTGAGTAAGAAATTCAGGAGAAAGCTGTTGCATTGATATAACCTAAGATGATGCACTGAAATAAATACAGTTTACACACATCATGTTTGGACTTTTCCTTTGGAAATCAATCTTTACTCTTGTTTAAGTTTACACCTTTGCCTGGAAAGTCTTCTATTTAATACTTATTTATTTCAAGTTTATCTATGGTCAGAGGTGAAATTGTTCACAGAATTGAAACATTGAACTCAGCAGAAACTACATTCAACTTTTCAGAATTAAAGTCACCTTATGGACCCAGTCACTAACCCAGGGACCTAAAAAATGTGGGAGCAAAGTGACTCAAGAAGCTGGTCGATCAGTTAACATGGAAGGGTGGTTTGTGGCTTCCAGTGCAAGCACAGAAAAGGCTTGACTGCTTAGAGCAGAGTTTCTCAAACTGTTCTCCTCTAGATGTTTTGAACTTCAGATCCCACAATTCCTAACAGCTGGTAAACTGTCTAGGATTTCTGGGAGCTGAAGTCCAAAACACTTGGAGGAGCACAGTTTCAGAAACACTGACTTAGAGGAAAGCAAATGTGTTCTGTTTGGTAAGACAAGGAAGAAAAGTGAAAATTCTCCTTTACAGAATGCTTCCCTGCTCATATTTTTATTGTATCACATCCGAAACACCTAAATAAGGCACTTCTCTCTCCTTCACACATAACATGTCATGCTAGGTACTGTTCGCCCCAGAATGAAAAACTTTGTTCTAGAAAAATGAATAAATGTTTTGTAGTACAAATTTGATCTCCCTATCTGAAATGCTGGGACCAGTAACATTTAAGAATTTGGAATGTTCTGGATTTTGGAATGCCAGTATCTGCATTTTTTAAAAAACAAAATCAATCTTAAGGTACTTCAGTGCCATCTTCCATGGCTTATGTCTTCCTGCACCCCAAGGGTCTTTCACGGTCACAGCTTAGCACCCCTCACAGCCATGTACACACCTGTCTGTTCCCCTCCCCCCATTCCACATATACATATTTCACATATTTGGATCATTAGGTCTTTCTGGTGATGTCATATCTCCCAGCAGAATGAGGAATCCTGGTGGGAAAACAAACAAGGCAGCAAAGTGGATGATTTTGTACTGCCACCATTGCCACCACAATAATGTCAGCACAGTGACACAGTTGTGGATGCAAGGTGAATGGGACTGTCATTTTCTCATTGTTGCTGGTGTGTTGACTCATGGGGACACTGAGGCCATGATGTGGAAGGAGGTAGCAGAGTTGTAGCTGCAACAATTTCCTGCTCCTTCCCTCCTACCTATCTTCATTTCACTTCACTT